TATATAAGTCTGATGTACTGTATGTGCTAATATATTATTATTCCTTTTGTTATAGATTGTCCTAATGGCAGGGGAAGCAAAAAAAATGATTTAAATTCTTAAATGCAATCTGTCTTTTTTTTCCCCCCTTGTATCTTATTTTGCTGTGGTGTTCAAGGATGAATTGTTAATCGGTTGTAGGAACCTAAGTAGCTTAATACATTAGCTTTTTACCTCTGCAGACTTGAGTTCAAATCACAGCTTCTCACAGATGAGAATTCCCTTCACAGCAGTTACCTTGTGGTCTGTTTTTATAGCTAGCAAAGCTGTTCCTCTTGGACACATAACATCTTGACTTTTTTGGAGCCCTGACCATTCTCAGCTGTCTGACTCCCATCTGTTCACAGGTATTTGGTGCACACAACATCTAATAGAATAAATGCTTGTAAAATCTGCATCTTGTGCCTCTTCTCCCTTCCCCGAATCTAGCTACTACTGACCTAGCTTTACCCCATTCACGATAGCAAACTGTTGACCTGGTCTCCATTATTGGAGCTCATAAGCTTCTCTAAATTGTCCACTGTCGTCTCAGACGTGACCCGAATAGAAACTTTGACTAGATGTGCATGTCTTGCTGGGCACGTGAAAAGAAATAAGAAAGGTGGGTGTGATGCTTAACTCACTCCTGCTTTACACATCAGCAGGAGTAACGCCATTGACGGCTGGAGACTCACTACGGGTGAGAGGAAAATCTGGTCTGATGTGTTCAGCATCCGGGATCGGCGGAGGTGGCTTCTGGGTAATCAGCCAGGGGTGTTCCTGTCTATTTTCCCTGGTGAAATCAGCAGCTGATTGGAAGCCTCGGAGCACATTTTAAGAGCAAGGGATCAGCCCTAATTCCTCCTGATACATTTGCACTAAAATCACCAGTAGAGGGAGATCTGACTTTGGGAACATCAAGACCTGCATTGAAATAACTACACTACATTGCAAGCTAAATCTCTCAAGTCCATTTATTTTAACCCATTCTCTGCTCTACTAGAATCAATGTAAAGGAGAGTGGGGAACCCCCACGAGTATGCAGAGCTCTTTTGAGCACTGATTGAAAATAGAGAACTAGTTAACTGCTTTATACAGAGAGTTGCTTTGGTAGAAAAGTGGAAACACTTGATGGAATTAAGACTCAAGCCAGGCACCTATTCTTTGGTTTCTTATCTTTATTACATTAAAATATTGGAGGAATCTTTAATAAAAGACAAAACAAATCAAATTTCCTCAAACAGAAAAACAACTGGGGATCGGTCTTGCTAACCCAGAGTAGGGAAGCAAAGATTTACCACTAGCTAATTGCCAGAGAATCATTGAGAGGATGTTAGCTTTGCCAAAACACTACTCTGATTACTCCAAAGGATAATTGCAGTCTGCGGAGGACCTGTTATAGTATGTTGACATATAGCCAATTTCAAAATATTTCTGGAGTTAGGTAAATTTAAAGTACAAGTCCCTTGGGGAGGGTAGGTGGGATGGGGACAGACTTGACTAAGCTAGAGTTGAGGTTAATCTTCATTTTGCACCCATTATCACTACTGAAAACTCACTGGCTTAAAATGGCAAACTTCAGCTAGCAACAAAACTATAACGTTGAGGCAGCTTGCTGAAAGCTGGTTAAGAACGCTAGTTGAAATCCATGTGTCTTGTTTGTAAAGGTTTAATGCATCCAATGCAATCTGAGTCAAATTCTCAGCTGACAGGTGTCAAACGTTCTATCAAGCACACCACAGAATACAGTGGTGGTGATAATTTGGCCCAAATCATTGGAAAATAACTGTCAAGTTCTCAACTGCTTTCATTAGGCTACTAAAAAAGCTCGGCTCTCTCATTCTGAACACTCAAAAAATGGAACCAGTTGGTAAAGGTTCACTTAGCAAACTATTTTTAAGCCTCCCCCG